ATTTTATGAATTATTGTTTTAAAATTTAAAAAATCGGTATTTTGGAAAATCCCGGTTTGTTTTTCAATAACGGTTAACTTAAGAACACCTGTTCGTTTAAAGTTCCAAGTTTACTACGGTTAACCTATATTTCGGTGAAAAATCGGTATATATCGTCACCGAAAACCAGTCCGAAAAAAACGAAACCGAACAACCCTACCTGCCGTGCTCAGAGTTAATTCAATCAGTATGAACAAAACATAGTTGTACCTAGCTTAGTTTCCTATTTAAACCAATCGATTTTGGTTCATAATATCACAGAGCGTTTTCAGTCTCAGCTTTCTAAAGTACTAGTTGATAACCTGGCCTTGTCAGTGCGTCCGCGCAAATGCCTGGGCGCCGCTGTGGACCAGCAGAGTGCGCTGAGTCTCTGTGGGCTTTCCGGAGGTGCCAACACGGTCGGTGATCGCTGCGGCCGGGCTAGAGATTCCGGCTGGAGTCAGGGTCGATCCGTCAGCCCTCCGAGTGCTTGACGGCCACGTCCTGGTAGAGGTAGACAGCGGTTGGCGGCTCGCTTGCACTAGGCGGGCGACAAGTCCAAGTCCTGGAACGGACGAGCAGGCACAGTGTTAGCCTCGCGGGGTCTTGAGAGGCACTATCGCCGGCCCACAGTTTTCGTGAGGTGCAGATTAGACTCACTTGTCTCCTGGCGGGCTGTTATCGACGGCGTGGAGGACAAGGGCACGTGTGGCGGCGTTGTGGGGAGAGTGCTGCCAACAGTGGCCTGGTAGTCGTGGAAGGGGTTCACGAGACTGGAGATGAAGGCGAGGCGGAACACGACGACAGGGAAGAGGGCGATCACCAGCAGGGCCACGACCGATAGGAAGATCAGGAGTCGGAGGCGATTGGTGTTGACCGGATTGGGCTCCGTGGGGACGACGACCTTGATGGTGGTCGGCGCTGCTTGGTCGAAGATCTGCTTCTGCTGGAGGAGTATCGTGCTGTTAAATCCCTGCAAAGCTATGCTCTGCAGAATTGCGAAGGATTTAGATCCTTACAACGAAGCATTTACCGAGGGGCAAATCACTTGCGAAAAAGTTCGTACACCTTTTTGCGAAATACACTCGTGAGCAAAATTAAAGCGCCACTTTTTTGA